TTCGAACAATGCAGCGGAGTCGCGGTATAGTTCGTACGAGGGAGAGTGCTTGGCAGCGGTGTGGGCTGTGGCGCACTTCAGGTGTTACTTGTTTGGTACGCAGTTCACCCTTGTTACTGATCATCAACCGCTCAAGTGGTTGATGGAGTCCGACAAGCTTACAGGGAAGCTTGCACGGTGGGCTCTCATCTTACAGGAGTACGACTTTCAGGTGGTGCATAGACCTGGAGTTGCGAACCTAGATGCCGATGGTTTGAGTCGAAACCCATGCACTAGCCAGGAGGATGACACTGGAGCTAGATGGCATGGTGAGGTTGACGAGGAGATGGTGCCTGGTTGGCATGCATCTGCCTTCATGTGTTGGTTACGTGGGAACTCTAGCAGAGAGGATCATCTGACATCTTACTCTAGTCAGAGAGTAGATGGCCGATCTCCAGATCCTGAGGTTGATGATGGTGGTGTGGATCAGCGTGATGTACACGATGATGCATTGGTGTTGGAGTTCCTACGGACCAGCATGGTGCCAGGCACAGTGGGTGCCAAGGAGCGAGATCGTGTTCTCCAACGGGCCAAGAGGTACCGATTGGAGGGATCACATGTTCTCCGAGTATGGGAGGACGGTAGGGTACGAGTAGTACCACATCCAGCCCAGAGAGCACGCATTGTGAGGCATGCTCATGAGGAGTTGGGACATTTTGGAGTGAAGCGTACATACAGCTTACTCCTTGGTCAGTATTGGTGGCGTGGTATGCATACTCAGGTACAGCAGTTGGTATCACGTTGCATGGTTTGTGATCGGGTGAGGGCATCATTCAATGCCCCGACACCAGTGTTACATCCATTACCCATCATGGGGTTGGGTTACCGTTGGAGTTTGGACTTTGCTGGACCACTACCTTTGACTGTACGACATCATCGGTATGTGTTGGTGATGGTGGAGCATTTCTCCAAGTGGATTGAGTTGGTGGCATTACCTGACAAGGCAAGTGAGGGAGTAGCGTATGCTTTTCTTGACACAGTGCTTAGTCACTATGGTGCACCAGCTGAGGTGTTGACCGATCAGGGAACGGAGTTTCAAGGTGATTTTCAGGTCTTGTGCGACAAGGCACTGATTGATCATCGGACCACGTCGCGAGATCATCCAGAGGCGGATGGTTTAGCTGAACGTGTTGTACAGACGGTGAAGAGGGCGTTGCGCAAGTATGGCCTGCAGAAAGGTCATCTTGGGGACTGGGATATCCAGTTACCGTGGTTGGCCATGGGATATCGGTTCAGTCGGCAGGCATCCTTGGCTTCCTTCTCACCATATTTTCTATTGTACGGCCGAGATCCAGACTTGCCAACATCGATTCGTCGTGAGTCTAGCGAGGTGGTGAACCTTGATGACCCGAATATGTGGGTGAGAGTATGTTCTCAACGTGCAGAGCTCTTTCGGAGAGTTATGCCTGCAGCGTTTGAGAATCTTGCGATTGCTCAACATAGAGATACGTTGCGGTATGCAACCATTCGGGGAGGAGGTTATCGACCATCAATTCGTAGGTTCCATGTGGGAGACTACGTCTATCTACAGCAGATTGCACCGACGACATTGGATGTGACGGCGGGACGCACCATCTTGCGGGTGCGGGAGGTGTTACCTTCTGGAGTTCTCCTGTTGGAAGGTCGTGACGGCGTTGTTTGGAAGGATCATGTGCGCAATTGTGCGCCATGCCACCTCCCAAACGTAGATGGCACTATGGACCCAAGCTTAGCGATAGTACGTGCTGGCTTGAGGTGCATGCTGTGTGGGTCAGCTGATCAGGCGGCCCGTATGTTGGTGTGTGATATGTGTTCTAGGGGATGGCACATGTTGTGCCTGACTCCGCCTATCTATGTTATTCCGGCTGGACGATGGGTGTGTCCTCGATGTACTTCATAGGGGTAGATGACTTGATCTTCACATGTTATGAATTGCAGCTAGGCGACTAACGATGGGGCGACATAGCACCCGGCCTACTGGTTCACGCACCCACGAAGGTGTATAGCATGTAGTTGTAGATAGGGCTACCTGGGAGTCAGAGGGACCTGACCGCCAGCTAGGGGGGCGAGTTGTGACATTTGAGTGTGTACTCTCTCGCGCCTTATATGTGTGTATGTGTGTGCGTATGTGTATGTGAGTAGCATGTCAGCGATGTAGAGTGTATGGCGATATGTATTCGCACGACAGCTGTCATGTAGTTACGAGTCGGCCCACGCAGTTTAGTCACTTACTATCTTTAGAGGTGAAGTTAGGGTTCGGTCACGAGAGGTATAGAGTCGGGGACGGCTCGAAGAACGTTAGTTCTTCGAGTCGAGCCTGGAAGCGTTGGGAGCGTAGAGTGACTTTCCCTTTTGCGTCGACCTGGATTCTCCGAGTGTGGAGTGGGTTGGGCTTGACTCATGTTTGTGACGGTGACGGTTTGTTGCCAGTAGGGTAATTGACCGACGGGAATTCCAGTGGGGACTTTCCCGTTCTTTTCAGTTGTGACATTTGAGTGTGTACTCTCTCGCGCCTTATATGTGTGTATGTGTGTGCGTATGTGTATGTGAGTAGCATGTCAGCGATGTAGAGTGTATGGCGATATGTATTCGCACGACACAATTGAAACATAAAAAAAACGATTCAACTCGAATAGCTACAAAGTCACCAAATAAGTGAGCAAAACTTTGAGCTTTTTTTTTACAATTTTGTACTTATTAAATATATGAATTTTAATTTTAATAAAATATACAAAATTTAAATATTAATGATATAGAGTAATAAAATATTGCAAGATATTTTATCTTTAAATTTTGATTACTTTATTGAGAAAAATATTTATTGGAGAATACATTCATGATGATTTTATGCTAATAAATAGACTAATGAAAATTTGATTTATACTTTAACATAAGCCTAATTAGGTCAAGCATGCAATACCACTTACTCTGCAGTTTTGAATCATTGAAATTTTCATTTTAAAACTATCAAATACATTCAAAAAATCTATATTCCAGAATCAATAATTTTTAATTTTTACGTAAATTGGAAACCAATACGAATAAAATTTCTTATCTAAAAAATCAGATAGCTAGTATGAAAAAATCTAAGAAATAGTGATAATTATCACAATTTGTTGAAAAAAATCGAATTTTATCTAATTATGATAAATAAAATTTTTCATATGTCTCCTACTATCTATTGTTAATTTTGATGCTTTGCACGTAGCTTTTTTTTAATCTGGTGAAAAACGGAGAGCTCTTTTTTTAACACTTGATATACGTATCCGATACTTTGTAAAGATAGAAAATGAATATAACTACGAAGATATTTTTCTTTTTATCAATACAATAGTATCAGTTAGATACATACATAATTCTGTTTTTTTACTTAATTTGAAATAGTTGATAATCAGTCATATTTTCTTGCAAAAATATTTATTTTGAATTCTATGTAAGAGACATAATGACTTGTTGGAAATTAGATTTCTATGATCTTATGTTTTTCTTTGCCCAATCGTCAGTCTTGATATTTACAACTTATTGTGATACATATATTATTTCCACAATATATACAACATGTTATTTAATAACAAAAATTGCCAAGTTATTTCATAAGATAATATATTATGGATATTGTGTCTATCATGGATTTGATTATTTTACTTGTATCAGTGACCTTACTGAAAATTTGATGTTTTGACTTGTTCTATCGATACTTGTAGTTTTCGCTTGTATTGTATTTTTCAGCTTTTTGTCTACTATCATTTACCATTTATAAATCTATGTTTTCATGCAGTATCAATAGTTGTGATAAGTTGAAACTGATAAACACTAATTTATATCTAACTTGAATTAATATAACTTGTTTCAAATTCACGGGTCACAAGATAATTGTGTATGATGTATCAATTACTATCCTAGAAATGGAAATGTCAAACAAAGGGAGTTTTTGTTTAGTTTGAAGTCAATTGGACATAGTGTAATCTTGAATCAACTGCTTGTTGACATGTATTTGATTCACGGATATCATGTCAGTATTCCAGATATGATTATTATCGGTCATTCACTTGACTCAGTTTCTCTCAGATGAGCCGCAAATGTAACTAGAACATCCAAGATCTTGAAATATAAGATTTTGTAGAGTGTTCACCACTTTGTTACTTTGATATCGACGTTATATACATCTATGCATAACGATTTCAACAAAGTAGTGACAGACTTCTATAAAACATAGACAGCATCGTTATCGTCCTCTTTACCTTGTATACTATTCAAGCCGATATACCTCCGTATACAATCACAATTAATAGAATATAGAAGAAAGCAATCATATCAGATAATGTGCCTTAACATGTGATTATTATTTATAGACTGTTTGAAGTTTGGTTTGGTTTGATCCTGGTGACGCTTTATGGGATATTTACTTCACTTTGGATTTTACAGGAGTCCAATGTAAAGTTCAGTGTGAACTGCCGAGAGAGGGAAAAGCAAAATCTCCGGAATCACCTACTCGTGTAGACAGATCACGGTACAAGCGATACGTGTCAGAGGGGAGACATGCTCAGGAGGAGTGGCGTCCTAGGTGGCAGCCGGACGCTGGTAGAGAGTTAGTGAGGTCAGGACAGGAGGGAGGCAGTGAGTGTGCTCTCTCGCTCTCGTCCGTGTCTTTCTGCGTGCGGTGAGTCCGGGCCCTCATCTTGTACTGGAATCAGCAACGCCCCTGGTGGCGTTGCTGATTCCAGTACAAGGTACAACGAATCCCACTTTGCGGCCTCTACATGGTTGTCGGAAAGGCCGACACTCAAGTCCCCAAATCTGAGATAAAATCCGGCTGACCGAATGGTGCATGAAGCATCCGGCATCAGAGCCAACTCTTTGGCGATTGGCAGCAATTTCTTGCGCAGCTCGGCTACTCCCGGCACGCCTCTCACCGCCAAAAGCCCGGGTCCTGTAGGTCCCAGGCACTGTGCGATCTTCCCGGCCATTCGGCCTCCACCTTCGTCCGCTGCTGGATTCTTGTGCACATGCGATGGCTGTGCTCCTCTGCCATCGCGCAGCACTCCTGCTTCCAGGCCCTTCGATCCGTTTTCACAGTGGCACCCTTTACCTGGATTCGCTCGAAAACCACCTCGCGAATCAGAAATTGATCTCTGCTCCCCGAGTTCATTCTCATCTCGCCGAGTTTCTGGTGCATCAGATTCCAAAGCTGCCCGAATGGAGCATGAAGCAAGAAAGAGTAGAAAGAAACTGGGATCGCTTACACCTGGCAGTACGGCAATTTGTATAAGTTTGTGCAACTAAGCGAGTCGAGAGCGAGGCAGGGCAGAGAGTTAGTGAGGTAAGGACAGGAGGGAGGCAGTGAGTGTGCTCTCTCGCTCTCGTCCGTGTCTTTCTGCGTGCGGTGAGTCCGGTTCCTCATCTTGTACTGGAATCAGCAACGCCCCTGGTGGCGTTGCTGATTCCAGTACAAGGTACAACGAATCCCACTTTGCGGCCTCTACATGGTTGTCGGAAAGGCCGACACTCAAGTCCCCAAATCTGAGATAAAATCCGGCTGACCGAATGGTGCATGAAGCATCCGGCATCAGAGCCAACTCTTTGGCGATTGGCAGCAATTTCTTGCGCAGCTCGGCTACTCCCGGCACGCCTCTCACCGCCAAAAGCCCGGGTCCTGTAGGTCCCAGGCACTGTGCGATCTTCCCGGCCATTCGGCCTCCACCTTCGTCCGCTGCTGGATTCTTGTGCACATGCGATGGCTGTGCTCCTCTGCCATCGCGCAGCACTCCTGCTTCCAGGCCCTTCGATCCGTTTTCACAGTGGCACCCTTTACCTGGATTCGCTCGAAAACCACCTCGCGAATCAGAAATTGATCTCTGCTCCCCGAGTTCATTCTCATCTCGCCGAGTTTCTGGTGCATCAGATTCCAAAGCTGCCCGAATGGAGCATGAAGCAAGAAAGAGTAGAAAGAAACTGGGATCGCTTACACCTGGCAGTACGGCAATTTGTATAAGTTTGTGCAACTAAGCGAGTCGAGAGCGAGGCAGGGCAGAGAGTTAGTGAGGTAAGGACAGGAGGGAGGCAGTGAGTGTGCTCTCTCGCTCTCGTCCGTGTCTGTCTTCGTGCGGTGAGTCCGGTTCCTCACCTTGTACAGGAATCAGCAACGCCCCTGGTGTCTTCGCCCCCACTCCCTCCTTGGCTTGCATGATCTACTTGCTCGCCGATTTGCTGCTGCGGCTCCTCCCACTTTCACTTCTTCCTTCTCTCGTCCCCCTCCTGCTCGTCTCATCCCCCCGCCCGGTCTTCCCTGCGCTGATCTGATCGACGATCCACTTTGTTCTCGGCCCATTTTATATCCGGAGTTCGGACTTGTGAAGGTGAAAGTGAATGAGAAGGGAGGGACTAGGGTAATCATGTCGTCGACTCTGGCCCAGAGCAGAGGGAGAAATCGTCGTCCTAGAGCTGTTGAAATTTTCTAGTAACTGTTGTCGTAGGGGTCGAGAAGGCAATTGGGAGTTTAGATCGTGCGAGGCCGTGCTTTCCTGCGTTTTTGAGGTTAGGTGAGAATCGGAGAATCTGCAAATCGTCGATGATGTAAAAGTGGAAAAGACAGGAAGGAAGAAAGAACGGGAGGGTTTTGAGGAAGGCGAGGAGGCGACCATTTTGATGCGCGAGTGGATTTGAGGACAATTCCGGTCAAAGAATCGGCGCGGGGCTGGCATTTCTACCTTGAGGTGAATGCCGCACAGTGTTTCATCGAGAACTATCACTGCCCTGTCGATCTGTTATTCTCGTGGTTTCGGGGAGTCGTGAACTTCTTGCTGATTTGAGTGTGTGATCTGTTTGCAGCAGCAGCCCAACCATAATTCTCCCTTTTGATATGGTTTATCAAAGTCCCTCGACGAGAGGCTCATTCAAAAAGCCCTCGTTCAACCCCGGTGATGAACTTACAACTTCCAGAACATGCCTCAACGATTCAAAAGAGGATATTATCCAGCGTAAGTCGGGTAAACGGGAGCAGCAAGAGGCCGCTCAGCTGATCGATGCAAGCGGTGAGTTTCATAAGGCAGCGGTCGACAAAATTGTCAGAGATCATCTAGATCGATCGGGAGTTTCATATGCCGTAGTGGCGATTATGGGTGCTCAAAGCAGTGGTACGGTTCTGCTCCGAATTTCCTTAGTTGTAATGTACATCACATCTTTTGGTGATCAGGTCCTCTGTGAGCCTTTGATAAGGACTGTTTCTTAGTTGCCTTTTTTTAAATGTGAAAGTTTCATGCAGTAGCAACCCACTGTGAATGTCTCAGGGTACGTTCTTTTGTTGGAAGCCTCTTGGATGGTAGAGTCCTGCACAATACTTGCGGAAACGATCGTATTCTGTTGACGTTCTTGAATTCGAATTGTTATGTGTCTGAAATCCTTGTATTATATCTGAAGTCACAGTCGTACTTGCGCTCGTTCTACCTTCTATTTCGCATCTATAGTTCGTAGCTTGTCTGAAGCAACATGTGAGGGTTGAAAAGCAGCGCTATCGCCAAAAGCGGATCCGGATGTAGGCTGGTCATGGGCTATTGCAACAGATTCAGTACGGCCATCATGTATTATATCATCTTATCTGCATAATATGGAGTAGATCGAAGTCAATGTATGTCGTGCTGGCAGTTTTTATAAGCTCTGTAGCATATGAAAGTCACAAGCACGCCTCTTCCTGGAAGATTGGTCATCGATTTCATTTAAGCAGCTTTCTTAGTGAGACCCGTATAATCAGAAGTAAACGTCTCGATAGTGGATGATCTTAGCGAATGTTACTCTGTATTTTGTGCAGGCAAAAGCACAATCCTTAATCATCTGTTCAGGACGTCGTTCAAGGAAATGGATGCATTTGCTGGAAGGTTTGTGATTTCATATCTTAAGCACTAACCCATGAGCGCAAAATGTACGCACATGGTGTCAGTAGAGTTAGTGCATATTGTTTTCGCCTGGTGGGGTGTACAGAGCAAGCATTTGATCTACATTTCTACGGCTCCGCATCTTTAAGATGGACCCTACTCGCAGGAGATTTTTAGTGATCACTCAGAAAGTTTGAGTATGAGAGAAGGTTCTTCAAACTTATGACAGCCTTACTTCCCTTCTGAGATCAAGGTTCGCGTGTCTATCGTGTGATCATACAGCTTGGAATTAATGTCTCATTCCATGATGGTGATGGTTACTTCAGCGGCAGTTGTTTGTACTCTGAGGGATTTTAAACATGTATTTACAATATCGTCGAGCTCACATTGTTCAAGCTCACATTTGCTTCTAACAGGAATCAAACAACTCAAGGTGTGTGGATCGCACGCGCAAAGGATATTGATCCTTGTACCATTGTTATGGATCTAGAAGGAACAGATGGACAAGAACGAGGAGAGGTATTTTGTGCGTCGTCAAGAATTTTTATTTCAAATTCTTGAATCTGTTCAAAAACATTTAATCAGTGAAATAAACAATAATACCTGTATGGCCTGCATGTGTGTTGATGATTTTCTTGCTGTAGCCGAGATGTAATCTGAGTACCCCGTAAAACTCTTGTGTGTATCAGAGAGAGGGTCCAGATAGGATACTTGTCACCAAGTGTAAACTTGTGCAACGTTTTATTCCTGATGAGGATCTCTGTTCAATTTGTGGCCTTTTAGAACTCCTGGGTTATTCTGAGTTTGCATTTTACATGTGTGCTACGCTTGTTAATATCGTGGTTACCTCTGCAGTCTGTTCGTTTGTTGAAAGCTAATTTTTGCTTCTTGATTATGAGCCGAGAAGAATAAGTGCGTTCGGCTGCACAATTTTTCAAGTCTCGCTTTAGCTGAATTAGTCGCCCGCAGTATACTCCATCCGCCAAGAACTTGTTCTGGAAGTGAGCGTGGGTCTTAACTCCGGAAATTGGGTTTGTCATGTGTTCAGGATGATACTGCCTTCGAGAAACGGAGTGCTTTGTTTGCCCTGGCAGTATCGGATATTCTGCTGATCAATATGTAGGTTCTCGTACCCTTTCCCATTATGTATATATATCAATAAAGTACAAGCTGCACAAGCTACTTTGATCTGAGTTACGTCCGCGAAATTTTCACCCAGTAACCTCTTTCATCTTTAATTGGAGTTCATATGTCTCACTCCCTTTCAGGTGGTGTCATGACATTGGCCGAGAGCAAGCTGCCAACAAGCCTCTTTTAAAGACCGTCTTTCAGGTTTGAATTTTTATCAAGTTCTGATGGGTTGAAGGCAACCCACTGCCTTTTTTTAAAAATGATTATTATCACTTCAAATCGCACCTTTCTGCGGGCTCTTGTATTCTAGATTTTGTGTTGTTCTTTGAAACCAGTTACCAGACGTGTCTCTTATTTCCAGGTTTACGTCCTTCTCACTTGAAAATCACATTTTGGTATGAACACAGGTTATGATGCGCCTGTTTACACCCCGTAAAACGACACTTCTGTTTGTCATCAGAGATAAGACTCGGGTATACCTCTATTTCTTTTACCACTTGAGAAAATGTAGTTGATCATTGCGCAAGGAATGCGTCAGGAAATTAAAATCTGATATACTTGAGGATTACATAAATTTTCATTACGCCGCTGGCCTGAGATGCGCTCCTAAGTGACCGGTTGGATCCGTCTATCGGAAAAGAGCAACATCCGTACTTGTATTTGGTTTTTTGATGTCTCTGTTTCATGGTTATAGGGTGATTCTCCCCTCTTGGGATAACAATTATTCTTTACCCGTCTGGAGTCAATGGAGTTGCAAATAGAAAGTGGCCTTCCCAAACTCTAATTTGGTCAGATTGACAAATCTGGAAATTTGTCACGGTGCTAGTCTTTCAGCTTTGTTTACATACAAGAAGTTTTAGCAGATTGAATTCTAGTAGGAAAAGGTGCTGACAACGTTCTCGTCTTTTCAGACTCCCTTGTCCGTACTTGAGAGTAGTCTGCGAGGGGACGTCCAGAAGGTACCGTGGTATTTCTCATGTTCCCACTTTATGTACCTCAAATGCCTTGTTTCGTCGTTGGTGTCGTCGCTCACGCTGAGCGCTGTCAGCGTGAGCGACGCTCTCTGCCAGCCGTCCTGTTTCGATATTTTCTGCTTTTCTGTTTATCCTTGAATGTTGTATTGGCTGATTTCAACACTTACATTGCCTAGAGGTGAATGCAGACATTGGATCTGTGACTTGGATTTTCGTTACCTTTGCACTCCGCGAACCTAGTCTAGTTTTAGTACATACGCATCTTTTGTCTGTGAATGTTGTTTGAATGATTGTTCTTTCTACTTTTAGACTGTAACACCAATTTTTTGTGAGTCTTCCAGATATGGGAACGTACCCCCAAACCTCCGCAGTACGAAGGAACTCAGCTGAGTCAGTTTTTTACTGTAAGTCCAAATTTTTTTTCTTCACGTGAGGGGTCACGCGAAAGAACATATATGGAACTCCTTGAAACCTGTACCTCAGTCAATTAATGATGTTCATAAGTCGAAGGTTATAGGGCTTTGTTCTCCTATTCGCGCTGGTCTTTGTTCAAATGCTGTCAATGCTCTTTAAAGACAGTAAATCTTAGCCAGGGTTGATTTTGGAAATTGTATTCCTTGACGGTTGATAATCTTTCTACCTTTAAGTAAGAGGTAAAGATTTGTCAGATCGGAACTCCGATCAGGACCTTTTATCCCAACATTAACCAATCAACCTGGATTCTAGGTGGAAGTTACAGCGCTCGCTAATTTCGAGGAGAAACCTGAACTATTCGAAGAGCAGGTATGAATTTAACGACTATGTTGATTATTTCAGTATTCATTTCAATGCCACGAGTAGAACTCTCTCATGACTTTGGTCGTCTCAATGTCGAGCTCAGGAGCATTAATAGTATGGAAATAATAATTAATAAACCTAACAAGCCGCACACATAGAGAAGTTCGGAATGATGACAGGAGATTATAACTGATGGTATTAGGCAGTATAAAAGATTTCGAATCAACAAATCTAACAGGTAGAAATATGTGGCAAGTAATGACACCATATGTGGATGTGAGGTTATTGGATGGGAGGTCTTGATGCACAAATCCGACGACTGTTGGATATTTTTCTTAGGTTGGTCAGTTGCGGGACCGATTCAACAACTCAATTCAGCCAGGTGGACTGGCAGGCGATCGAAGAGGAGTTGTTCCGGGATCAGGTTTCGGAATCAGTATCAGTGACATCTGGAAAATCATCAAGGAAAACAAAGATCTGGATCTGCCAGCACACAAGGTTTGTGTGTTGTGTTTTTCTCAGAGACATTTGCTCCTTCGACTAGAGTGCAAGTCTGTAGCTTGAACGCGAAGTCGGTTCAAAGGGTTAGTTCACAACCGCGTGAAGGTCATTCCAACAACAGCTCAGGTCTTGATTTTGTTCTCCTTCGAGACATCTCTAACTTGAGCTGCGCATGTGATTTACCCTTTTCTTTCTTTCTTGGCAGGTGATGGTTGCCACTGTTCGGTGTGAGGAGATTGCACATGAGAAGCTGAGTGCCTTATTGGCAGATCCGGTACCGTACAAAAACTTCGGTTTCTATTTTATTTACTTTCGTATCTGGAGAACCATAGGGGCATTGCATAAGGACAACGTTACCTAGGATAATTTCGAGCACATCTGTTGAGTTACTTTACGGCTATATGTTTGTGACTTGCTTGTTGCTACAGGATTGGCATGATTTGGACGAAGGTGCGAGGAAAGGCCTAGTCCCCGGCTTTGGGAAGAGATTGAGTGCTCTTTTGCACAGGCATCTATCAGGGTAAGTCTCAGCTTTGCCAACCGACAGCACTACTCTAAAATATATGAGGGCTCTCTAGATTTATTATAAGTTTAATCATATCCCAATTACGAGACCTTTTTCTCAAGTAACCTTTCGTGTTTCTCTTGTCTTTAACCCATCTACCAAGTCACGCAGTCTCTTATTACCAGCACTGGTTGGAGTTTAAGTCATGGAAATTTTATAGAAATGGGAGAAGCTGTCGGGCAATTCAAACATTGCTGTAAGTTACACAATCGATAGGAGAACCTGGAACTCCCTCAGCCAGTGTGTAGAGTCTATGGTCCTCAACGTAAGATAGGATATACTGATCAATATAGCTCTCTCCAAACTATACATAACCAAAATTTATGTCTTCCTATCTTGGAAGGGGTAAAAGGACTTGCCATATCATCATCACTATATTGTTCATGCACTACATAGTCTGTGCACGGCGGTTCCAGTTCTCATGGTATTCATGATGATGAAACTTGATGAGTCTAAGAGGCTTATAGTTTTTGAGCTAATTGCAGTGATATCTGTCCTGAATGTTTTTGAATTAGGGGTGTCTGCTTATCGAACTGAAGCTGTTTCATACAGGTATGACGACGAAGCAGCATATTTTGATGATAATGTAAGGAGAGCCAAGCGCAATTATCTGGTGACAAAAGTTTTAGATGTGAGTTTTTTATCCATGCCCAGAACTTTTATCGTTTATGGCTTCCAAAAAGTGATTATATCTTCCTCTCACAAAAGTAGGATCGTTTTGAAGCTTAATTATGAACGAGAGCGGAGGGGCGTAATTTACAATGTTCGTCTGTCTGACTCCCGATCAGTGCGTATGTGTCATGTTAAAGAGCTTAGAGCATTACACTTCTTATCTAGGTAGATACAAACCCGCGAGATCTCGTCCCAGTTTTATGCATTATGGTGCCAATAACTAATGGGAAAAAAAGTTGCCGAGATGTTCATGTTTTTTGGTAACTGTTGGTAAAAGGAATAAGACTCAAGATTTCAAGCCTGGGCTGAAGATGGGCTATTGTTTTCAAGCAGATTTCTTTTTAAAAAGCAAGTCAACTTTTTCAGCTGACCGGTGATGTTTATTGCCTGTTTTCGTTCAGACGGTTCAACCTGCATATCAAGCAGTTGTATTGAAAATTTGGAACGAAGCCTTGAATAAGTTTATGCAAGGGGTGAACGTTTGGGAAGAGCGTCCTGTTGGAGAGGAAGGCTTTGCAGTTGCGGTCCGCAGGTGCTCCGAGCAAGCTTTGTCAGACTTTGATAAGGGTTGTTCAGGTAAGTCAGGCCTCTGATTTGTTTAGTCCTGTTAATTATTTGGGGTTTTCAGAAGTTTAACATCACTCTGATCTTTTTGTGGTTTTTTGGTCTTAGATAAATTCTAATAGACCAACCTTCTCTGAAGAGTATTATGGTGGAAAAGCATTTGAAGCATCTTACTGTAGCCCGTGTTATATTTCGTGGTATGCAGATTCTTGCGTTTCCCAAGCCCATTGGGACAACGGAAAGCTTCGTAAAAAGCTTCATCGAAAAATTGATGCACATGCTCAGACAGTCAGAGCTGAGAAAATTGCTGCCATTGTAGCTTCTGTCCAGGTGAGAACTGAAGACAGTCAGGCAGTGGCCTGCTTCACTATTGGGTTGATTTTTACTAGAGTTGAATAATGACTTACATTCACCGCAAGTTTGTTTGTGTTCTTCATTTTGCAGAAGCGGGTTGAGCACGCTCTTACGGAATCCGCTAGAGCTGAATTAGCTGCTGCGTCTGAAAAGACGTGGCCATCTGTTAAGAGGCTTCTTACACGCGAAACCGATATTGCGAAGGCAGCTCTGTTGTCAGATATTGCAGGATTTGAGCCGGATGAAACAGAAAAAGCAACTATGTTGGATCGCTTAACTTCGTTCTCAAGAGGAGTGGTGGAGCGACAGGCGAGGGAGGAAGCTTCACAGGCACTGCCACGTATGAAAGATAGGTGTGTTTTATACCTCTCAGGTTTCCATTTTAACAGCGTGGCTACTTGAGTTGGCAGTTTCAACTACAACAAAGCAATTTATAAGTACTGGGATCGTTTTCGTGCTTTGTTTCATATCAGGTTCACCCTTTGTTGGTTTTCCTTCGTGTGTCTCCTGGTTGTGTATTCTATTCAATAGCCTTGAATATAACACGAACGATTGCAAAGACTTATGTTCTGTCTTGGTTTGTAGGTTTACGACAAGTTTTAGCCATGATGCAAAGTCACAACCTAGACTTTGGTCTGAAGAAGAGTATATCCTGGCTACTGCCAAAGAAGCTCGGTCAGAGGTACTGATGGTTCTTACCCCTGATCTCCGGCATTTGACTTTGAGCGTTCTGTCAGCGCTAAAGTGTATTTCCAGTCCGAATAGAATGAGGATTACACCCATTCAAAGCGTGGATCTGAACATGAGAGTTTACCAAGTACCATAATAACAGGCCATTCTTCGTTTTTGTCGTGCAGTCTCATAAAGTACTATCTGCTCTGGCTGTAATACAGCTTGATTACGACGATATGAATGATCCGACCAAGCCAGCACTGAGCTCCTTATTGGACGGTTCCAGTCAGAATGCACTCGCCGCAAATTCTTGGGATGGGGTTTGTATTCGATAGCTCTTCTTATTTTGGGCACTCGTCGTCTTTGGGTTTCGTATGTGGTACATTCAAATGTTAGCTTGTATATGAGATCTTAGCTTGCAATGCTTGGAGAGCTGCATAAAGCAATACTGACCAGTCAATTATTGTCCAAATCACCATCTTCTAATTCTTAAACCAGTCGCAACTGAAACCTTTGACTTGTTTGATAGACCACGAACTTGGAACTGATTTTTTATCCTGACATGTCGTTGATGTTCATTAGGTTCCGCAAGGGAATACTCTCTTATCGCCCGTGGAGTGTAAGAAAATATGGAAACAATTTAAAGATGAGACCGATTCCACAATTCTTCAGGCTAAACTTCAGGCTTTAGCAGCGCAGGTATGATCATAGCCTAATCGTTGAGTATGTTTCGTGCAAGTACTGCACATGCACATCCCTTTCTTCTAAACACGTTTCTCTTATTTTACTTTTCGTACACTTTATGCTCTGGATTGTTTCTGATGTCTTTCCTCTTTATTTCAACTCACTTATTGCTTCTCTTCTGCCTACTCTGTGTATGCTTGCCTTACAATCTGTTGACCTCTTCATACTGAAGAGGTCAACAGAGTTGTTTTCTATGCCATTTTTCGGGAAACCTTCTTTATTGCCTCATATTTCCATTGCACCGGCTATGCTTTGATGGTTGTAGATAGAGCCCATATGGTTGTACCTCCCCGGTCGATACTCTTCGGTCTCCCTGCTTGTAGAGCCCTTGCAGGTGATCTCTTGTACTATGTCACAAGATAACGGATACTGATTCTTCATGCTCGCTTGCAATTATAGGCGCACAAGAAAGATGAGGCGCACAAGAAGTCATCATCATGGTTACCTCCATCATGGTGTAAGGCATCAAAGTGGAGACCTCCACCATGGGTGGTCGGGGTCGGGATCGGGGTACCATCGGCCGTGTGCCTGGCGGGTTTCAGTGTTGTGCTTACGATGGTGTTGGGTGGTTAAACCGGAGTACTGCATCACACCTAAAAAGCATACCCGAACCCGATCCCTGCTCACGCATTCTGGGTTTCTGGTACCCATACCCGACGTACATACAAAGAGACAAAACCGAAACCCGAAACGAACCCAAGTCGCCTCTGAATTGATATCCGACTAGACCCGAATAGATGGGTAAAAAACATACGTTTTTTATTTAGCTTTCAGTTTTCGGTGTAACCCAAGCCAGCATAGATGGGGAAAAAAACATACGTTTTTTATTTAGCTTTAAATTTTCGGTGGAACTGAAACATGAACAGATGGTAAAAAAACATACGTCTTTTATTTTGCTTAAAATTTTCGGTGGAACCAAAACATGAACAGATGGGAAAAAAACGTACGTTTTTATACTTAGCTCTAGGATTTTTGTGGAACCGAGACATGAACCCATGAAAAGTCCAGTAGTTCTCTATTTAGCTTTCGGTGATAGGTGTAACCTTAATCTGGACAGCAGGCGACAGTAGCATTGAGCGTAGAAACATGAAATCGTCGAGCTTGGAAACATGTAACAGGTTGCGTTTTTTGCACATTGTATGGTCGAGAAGTTGTTTTCAGATTTTGCGCGAGATATTGGAATGGTGGCACACAGAGCGAGCGAGTCGAGAAAGTAGAGTGAATTTGTTTTGATGGATTTTCCACCAAAATAAAATTCCATATTTAGATAGAAGTGTGCTTTCATCATCATTACTCAAATATAGTTGTTGTATTTTGTTTTCAAAGAAAAATCAAGGTGCATGTCATCGCAATGGGCTTTTTTTCGATGGTGTGGTCTCTCTCAGAATCTCACGACAACATGTAACACGTCAGCTGTCTTCTTTCTGTTTCTTATGGGATTGCACATTGTCTTTGTCGATGCCAGAGCCAATCATATGATTTTTCATTTAGATTTTTTTGCCAAGTTCAATATCCGCTCAGTCGATGCCGAACTTGTCTTAGGTTTTGGTTTTAGGACTGAGTAGGGCGACAATGACATGAATGTCGTCCCAAATAAACTTCTCCCTGATCAGTTCCGTACATTTTGGTTTCAAGGCGATGAGTGTAGTTCCAAATAAACTTCTCCCTTCTCCCTGATCAGTTCTTTAAATTTTGTTTTCAAGGTGATGAGTGCAGAGTCTTTCTTGGTGGTGATACATGTCGCAACAATCTGGCAATGCTTTAGCAAATTCTGCCGAAAATAGAGTATGCGGTGTAATGCAGGCTCCGCAAACATCTCAAGAGCTAGGATGGCCTCCTGAAATGGCACTTAAAAAATCAATGAACTGCATGAGCAGGTCGTGATCAATCTTGGTGACATTGAAACCAATCCGCGATCTTGTGCAAGTAATATCTCGGTCAACTCTGGGAGTGTCTCGTCCATGCTGATCATGCAACAGAAGGTAGAATTCCATCGTGTCGCATGTTCTTGTTTTAGAGTCTTTACAATCTCACCCTGAAAATTCGCTAGTTTGAGATGTGGCACAAGTGCTTTGACCTGATCAATAGTATCAATTCGCTAGTTTGAGATGTGGCACAAGTGCTTTGACCTGATCAATAGTATCAAGAACTCGGGAGCTAGATGGTAAAACTCATAGAAAAGATCAGATATTTTACCTTCAACCATTCGAGTTCTCTTGTCGATAATTGTCGTTAGAATGATACCAATGATGTGATCACAACATGGTATCCAACCATAGAGATTAGAAATGCCATCTGCAGAGTGGTGCGACCCAGGAAACGGATTGCATGCAAACGTGCGGTGATGTAAAGTGAACTTGTCGTCGATGAAATGCACAATGACTAATAGGAAAGATACTTTGTTAATGTCATTGGTCCAAATATCGGTTGTGCTGCCAATCTGAATTCATTCCTCTAGATGTGCCTTCAAGGCGACAGTCAGAATCTCTTGTCCAACATTAGATCTCATCTGCAAATTTCTACTGATTGTGGTTGGATCAGGAAAAATATTGTACACAAGCATACCCATCTTAGAATCGACCCCAATGTTGAGTGCGGTCTGTGTATAGTTCCTGAACCTTCTGCACTTCACAATATAAAATGGACGCATGTCAACAGCGCACATGCCCGCCAACGCCATGATGATGAGTTTCTTCTCACTTGTAGTCGCATCGCGGCGCGTTGCTGTAGCTGTCATAATTTGATTGGTCTTTGCAGGCAGACAAGAGTGTTTGGACGTGGCGGCGGTTCTGTTGGCTGATCTATATTGATATACAGTGAGACATTTGTTGTAGCAAACAAAAGAATTATCACTATAACAAGTATGTTCGCCAGTCTCCTTGATCGAAACAAACAAAAACAATGTCCACACACTTGCCCTAGCTTTACGGTTTTTCACTCAATAATAGAGACATTCTTCTTTCTGCAAATCTTTGGACCTCATCTCAATTGTCATTGTCGCATATGACAAACCTCGAGAGTGACAGACGATGAGAACAAGTAAGATTAACACTCTGTCAAATCAAAAAATACTCCACGAACTCTTTATTGAGTAATCATAATTTCCATTTATAAACATAACCCTATATCTAAACCATTTTAAGAAAAGTCCAACCCGAAACCGAACCTGACCTTTCTAGCTTGGTACAAACCCGACCTAAGAATAAGTTAAAATATGAATTTAAGATGAAAGATATGGAGAAATAAAAAAATATATTACACATGGATACTAATAAAGATCATAAACAACAAAATTTATGATTGTGTCAAGGCAAATATGTTTAATATATACTTGATACGTTCAACATGGTCAAGTTAAAAAAAATATGAACTCATCTGGCTGCACATTTCAAACTCTTTGTATCTCAATGTACTACCGATGCCTGTGGAGAAAAGAAGAATGTCATGTGTTTCGTATGAATAATTCGTATGCCGCGTCATGTATTTGATGGTGTACACTAGACCATACATTGTTTTTGCAGTGAAAATGTACATGTTCAATCCGGAGAAAACTCATTGGGAAACTATGAAATGGATTATGAGATATTTAAAGAGTACTTTGGATTATAACTTACTGTTTGATCGTTTATTAGATAATGCGAAACCCTTGTTTGGTTACGTTGATGTTAACTACGGACATGATCTAATTAAAGAGAGATGTACAATTGGATAAGTGTATACACTTGGCGGTGGAGGCATTAGTTGAAGGTTTACCTTATAGAAATGCTTAACTCAGTCAACAACAGAAGTTGAATATGTAATAACAACAGAAACAATAAAGTAAACTATTTGATTGTATAGACTTATCATGGAAATGTAATTGAAGCAGAGTGTGTTAAATATTCATTGTGATAGCTAGAATAATGATGATGACAAGTGTCATCGTAAAGTCATTCAAATTGAGAAAAACATCTCAAAACTTCAAAATTGTGGTACTTTGAAAATGTAGCAAAATTGGCAAGTTTAAAAGAGTTTATTGTGGTAAATGGATATTTTCCAGAAAATGTAACATACAACCAAAAAATAGGTTAATAATCTCACAATAACAATTATGCTCTATGATGCCAACACAATGCTTTTTTTCCACTTCATCCTCATCAAAATTTATTGTGTGTATGATAAATTATGGATGTTCATAAGTAAAAATTGAATAAAATATACCTCCTCAGCTTTTGTTAGATGATTTCAAAAACTTTGATTTTAGTAAAAAAAAATATCATCCATGTCAAAACGAAGGTATTATTTTTTATGAAAATTCAGGTATTTTCTAAATTTGATATCGATTGAAGTGTAAGAAACATACGATCATTAATAGATTAATTTTTCTGTAGGGTGAAATTTGTCTTGAAGTGAATTAGACGCATGTCATTTCAAAATCTATATTAACTGAAGCTCGGCATTCCTTCTGAAGAGATACATATGTTCAAATCTTGAAATGAAACTAATTATTCGTTAAACTCAGATTTACATTATACTATTTAAAATATTTTTTTTTTCATAAAACCATTTATTTATATACTGCATTGTCAAATTTCAAAATTTTATGAATATGATATCCTACTAGAGTAAAACCAAATTGTAACTTTACATTGGAATTCATAATGTCAAGAATACTCTCAATTATATGTATATTGTTGTGTGATGATTCATCGAACTGATGTAGAAATATACATTTTTTATTTTTGTGTGCTTATTTTTAATTTTTAAATATATAATATATCCATCAAAAAACGGCTGTTTTAAACTTAGACTCAAATCTTCAAGATTACGAGTTCACTTTTATCAATACATTGATGAACGATGTGCAGTATACTTTCAACAATAAAAGTTAACTCTTCATATCATTTTTAAAATATTCCAGCAAGATGTTTTGGTTAATCTCTTCAGTCAAACATTGTTACAAAAAGTTGCCATGCGTTGACACAATCTACTCTTCCTATTTATAGAATTTGGTTTAGTATATTCAATACAACAATTCATATGATAATCATTCTACCTTTGATGAAATATAGGTTATAGTCATTTGATCATTTAGGATTTATCATACTAATCATCATAGCCAAAAAAATAGAATCTATAATCAATATTACTTCCGAGATATATATATATTTGTTGAAGGTTAGAAATCTTGCATCTTTCTCTGTTAGAAGTCGTATTACTACCCACTTCTTGGACCTCTATACACTCACATTCTTTGCTGTATGTACTTTGTACTATAGTCGTGGTCGTGACAGATTGTCACAACCAGCCGCTGTCCACTAGGGTTTCTGCATCTCTCGGACTGTCACGGTTGGGTATATATTTCCCATCCGGGTTCTCTCCCCATCAACTAAGATCTGCTCTCCAGAACTCAGTACTTGTGTCTCTCGACTCTTTCTTGTATTGCCTCAATTTGTTATGGTATCAGAGCGTTAGGGTTTAGAGTTCAAAGTTCAAAGATTTGTTCTTTGAAGATTCACTTCGGCAGAACGTGAAGCTCAGCACAGAGTATAGTTCGAGTTCATGGAGAGGACTTCTCCTGGAGTTTCAACTTGGTTCGCATGGAAAGACCTCCCCCTCCCCAAATTCAGTGGGGAACATTTCCATGCATGGAAGGGGAAATTTAGTTTAATCCTTCAACTGGAAGGACTGATGGACATCATGGAAGGGGTCGAAGTCAGGCCAAGCACTCCACCGGGGTCTACGACAAGAACTCCAGAGTCAAGCGCTGGCAGTAAGCAAGAATGGGATGTCAAAAATCTCATGGCCTTGGCGGTGTTAAGTAACTGGTTGGAAGACCATCAACATCCATTGATCGCACGTCATTCTACAGCTGCAGAGGCCTGGGCAGAACTGAATGCATTTTTTGAATCCCATGATGTACCAATGCAGATGCACTTGAGAAATTCATTGCATTCTCTCAAGATGAAGTGAGGCGAGTCTGTAGCGAAACATTTCTCAAAGTTTTGTCTACTTCTTCACCAGTTGTCATCTATAGGGCAGACCATTTCAGAGGCAGAAGCTTACACCTATCTCCTTCGAAGTTTACCCATTGAGTATAGATCCTTTGTGCGCTCCATGAGGACACAGCAGAATTTGACCACCCAATCTGTTATTGCTGGTGTTCTTCTTGAGGAATCACACCTTCAAGAAGAGGAAGAGTTGACAGAAGGTATGGCAGCACTCTACAAAGCAAAGAAACAAGGGGGGGCGCCAAAGATGATGCATCCAAGACACTTCACTGAGTCAGGTCCTTCATCGCGACCAGAACCTCCTGCCAAGACATCTTTTCCCAGGCAAAAGATGAAGTGTTTCTATTGCAAGAAGAAAGG